AATATTTGATCACAATGTTTTTCGAAATAAATTCATGATCTTCTTAACTGATCATGTCATGATTTGCTTTCGTTTGTGGGCTTTGCTTTACATAAATGAATTCAGTTTTTGATATAGTTCTTGCACTACTTTCGACACTCGTGAAAATATTCTTAGCCGAGAATGGTTCCATGACAAATGATCGTAAATTGATTTACTGATCTTCATTTATTTCCTTGCGCCTTGCTGCATTCAAATTGAAACATTTTATAATCCTTGATCATTCGATCATTTAACATGTTGACAATCGGACCTCTCCTACTCTCTCTCTCTCTCTCTCTCTCTCTATCTATCTCTTAGGCATAAACGTTCATCACAAGAAAAGCTCATTACACGGCACTTTGCCGTTCTTTCAAGCTATTCTCAATCGATCGCGTCATGATCACCTGATGGACTGATCTCGACATTTGACCCCAGCATTTCGCGTCTTAACGGCTCATGAGCTGCTCAGCGGTGTCATTAAAACTGTGCTCCATTAACACCTCAATAACCTCCTGGACTCATCATCTGCTTTTTCTTCAGCTTCTTTGCCTGTTCTTTCGGGCGGGTCGTATAAGACTCTGAAAGGGTTTAGCATCCATAAAAAATGGCAATAAATTCCAAGAGACACAAAGACGAGGCATTTGTGGGCAAAGTTTCGGCTAGAAAGTTGTCATAAAATGCAGATTTAATGATCGAACCACTCGATTCCAATGCCTTGGAGCCAATTGTTCTGCTCGAGCATTGCATAAGAAGAGCCCGATGGGGGACGAGAATTGGGGAGCTGGAAGAGCTGAGGCCTCTGGCAGAGCATCTGCAGCGTGCAAAAACAATCACGAGTCTTCCAGCGGCAGATGGAAATGTTGTGTGACCCAAATTCCAGCATCAAAAGAAAATCAAATTTCGATGTGTGAAAAGCTGAAAAATAAAGAAATAAAAAGAAACAACAACAACAAAATGAACAGAAAATCGATATACAAATAAAACCGAAAAAATAGTCATCTACAAATATTTATGGCTAATTCAATGGCCTGTGGCGGGGCAACAGTCCCGCCCCCCGTCCCCTGTGCCGCGCCCCTGCCTCAGGGCCGACGCGACGTCATTCATTCAATCATTTTGTCAATGATTGGGCTTTCTATTCTTATGGCAYGGCACGTTCATTATTATTATTGATTTCCCGACTTATTTTTCGCTCTTCTATACGACTTTTCAGTTCTTTCCAAGCCTGCAATTAATTTTCTCGCGCTCGGCAGCGCCGCAGTCGCAGTCGCTGCTAGCTGCTAGCTGCCTTGCCACAGTGCAGCGTGCCACAAAAACAAAAGGTAAACGGCAACAAGACGCATGCCGTGTGACCGCCTCCCCCCCGCCCGTCCAGCGATCCCATGTCTGACGCATGCAGCTCGCGGGCAGCTGGAAATGTGGGGAAATGTGGAAATGGAAATGAAAATGGAAATGGATGCAGCCGCCAGTAACCCAAGCCGCAGCCTCGGCTCTCGCGTTGGCTCCCAGCTTGCGGCATCCACAATATAAAAGCTCGGCCTCCAACTGGCTTTGGGTTTAGAGCAAATGCAGCTGCGCACGCGTACGAACCCTCTCGCGCTTCGCCTCGATTCTATTCACTCTGCCTCTGCTTTTTTTTTTTAACGGTGTTTTGTGATATCGCCAGCCTGTGCAGGATTATCAGACAGGAAGCAAACAAAAAATAATAAATATAAATCCAATCGCGCCAATTGAGTACAAATCTAACGAGAATGTGGCAATATCTTGTGGTATGTGAAGAACAAACATTCAAAAACAAAAATCACAAAATATAATAATAA